ACTTTTTTCTCTTGAAAATTATTAATCTCAAAGAAATTTTTCGAAATATATCATATCCTTATTGAATTCAACATTGAATCATCCTAGTAAGTTTTCATTTAGTCAATCCTATACAGTATGATCATATTTTTTTATATGAAAAAATGATTTTAAACTTAAATTATTGTTTAAGAAAAGGTTCTTAAAGTAAATAGAATACTTTTGTTTTTTTTAGTTTTAAACAAGATGAATGTATCCTTGTTGAAGTATTGAATTTACAATAATTGTCTATTTTACTGAGAATTCTTCATATAATAATTTTTCAATTTGAAATAAATTAATTTGTTTTATGCATTGTAAACTGAAACTATAATGATAAAATTGAATAGATCTTCTTACAGTAATATTATATTCATGATTTTTTAGAAATATTCTCATTTTCTTGTTGTCAATTGAAAATCTTCATAATTTCATGATATTTAAGTATACATTTACACGATTATGATGTGTTATTTTATTATATTTAGTCTATTTAAAAAAAAACAAAAAGAATTTCTATTAAATTATTTATGAACTATTTATTATAAAGTAGAATAAATATAAATATCTATATTATATTTATTTAAATTATTTATAGATTCTTTTTATTTTATGATCGAACTGTGTAGTTCATTTGATATTCAATTGATTGATTGATCTTTAACAGTAGCTAGCTTATCATTGACATTTACTATTATTATCAGGTCAATCATGATGAAAGTTACTTTCGAACATTTGTATCAGTTACGAAATTAACCTTTTTGTTTGTAAACATTTTCGTGAAATTCTATACAAATAAAATCTACTAATACTTTAGTTTAAATCAATACAAACATTAAATAATAATCACAAGAATAAAAAAACGATAATAATTATGTTTACAATTAAATTTAATCTAATATTTATAATAAATAAGATTCTAAAAATAAGTGTGTGACATAAGTATCTGTGAAAGAGAGAAAACTCATTACTAATCCATTCACCTACATATTTAGAGTTCATCCTATATAAATATATTAGAATAGATTTTATAATGTTGTCATTTTTGTTTATATTCTTGATAAGATATTCTATCAATCTTTTGTTTTTTTTTAATTTTGAGATGTAGATTTATTATAATTACTGAAACTTTTAAAAACAAATCTAGCTACATTGTTTAGATTTATCAATTTGAATTTTTTTGTCAGATAAATCTAGTCTGATGAAATCTTATGTATATTTAAAATGAAGATGATCTTTCGAAAAATTCTTTTGTAAGTTCAAACATTAGTTTATTGTCCGTAATTTCTTTATAATTTTCAAACTCATAAATGTAAATTTTTACTTATTTTGCTAAAACAAATTATATTGTAGAACAGTATATTTTAGATTTCTAATATCTTTATTATATTTTAATGAATAATTTTGTTTTGTTTTAATATAATTTTATTAATAAATGAAATATAAGATGTGAAAGTATTCTCTCTCATATATATGCACAAAATCTATGTTTAGATAAGTAATATTGGCATGAGTAAGAGAGAAAAATAAAAGTAAGAATATATTTCTGTAACGTTCCGTGAAATTATGCTGTTATTTTTTTGGTTGTTATATGCATGATTATATTGTTTTGTTCCCATGCTTTTTTTTCAACCATTTTTATTTTAAAAAAAAAACAAAAAAGATTTTTGTTAAACTAGTTTTTATTGTTCTTATTTCTTATTAGCTTCATCTAGTGGATTGAAAAGAGGTGGAGATACAGATGGAACTCGAGGAAGTAAGTTTAATTAAATTAAACATTACTTTATTAATATATATATATATTAGAATCATATAAAATTCCGATGATTATTGGACTCTGTATTGGTGGTATTTTACTACTTGTTATTATTGCTATTATAATAGCTGCTATTATTTTTTTAAAACGTCGTAAAACTAATACTATTGAAAAACGTTTACCATCTGGTATGTTATTTTTATTTCTTATCTAACAAAATCATTAAAATATTTATTTTTTATTATAGCAGAAAAATTATCGAATGAGTAAGTTAATATTTGTTTTTTTTTTGTTTCTAATAATTATTTATAATATTTAAGTAAACAAGGAAAAAATCGTTGGGGTCATAATAGTAATTTACCAATTGATTATACAAAATATAAACATGAAGTATTAAAAGGTGATTCATCATCAACATCACATTTAGTTGAATCAGCTGAAAGTAGTACAAGTCAAGTTCCATCAATACCAAAACGTTCATCATCAATGACAAGTACACATTCATCATATCGTCAAGCTCCTCCTCCTGTTCCATTACCACTTTCATATCAAGAAGCAAATACATTTCCAGGTTCTCGTCCACCACCACTACCACCATCAAAACCTTCCTATTCACCTGATAATGATGATATTGATGATGATATTGATACTAGTGTTAATGCTATGCCATTAACAACAAATCGATCACGAACAATAACACCATTTGGTTCACATAAATCACTTTCAGAATCAATACAATCATTAAGATCTAATCAACAACCAGGATTATCATTACCTGTTAAAAAACGTTCACATGAACCTCCACCATTACCACCATCAATTATATCAAAACATGATCAACAAACATCTTCACCAAAATTATTTAATGCTAAAAAAGATTATCAACATCATCAATATCATAATCCAGCACAATTAAAAGTTCATCAACAAACAAAACCTAATGATATATCATCAGATGAAGATGAATTAGAACATCAACAACAATTAAATAATACTACCGAAGATTCAGCTGTATGTATATTTTGTAAAGAAAAATATCTTTAAATTCTATCACAATTATAAATAAATTTAACACATCTTCTTTTTCTATATATATTGATTAATCTATTTAAATTAGTTTTTTTCGTTATACATTGGGATAAAAGGAATAATGAGATATATTTATTCTATGCATGTATCATCTATTATATTGATCAAATATTTTTCTTTCAGTTTCTTCCGAAAAAATTTACATTTCGTGTGGTAAGTTATTTTGTATCAATTGTTATCAACGATGTTAAATGTTCTCGGTTTTTATTTTTGCCTGATATATCATGCATTTACGCTCTTGCTCATATTTGATGAAACATTTTTTTTATTACCCCGCTTATGTTTTGCTTATTCATTGCGTTCTATATCAATAATTAATCTTTTCTATCTATAAATATTTTGTTCGTATTTATAATAGAAAGCAGGACCTGGAGCGCCAACAAAAACATCATCAGCTTATAATCAAAAAGAATATCATCAACAACAACAACAGCAACAACAACATGGGCGTCGAGTAAGAACACCACCACCACCACAACAAATGGTTGTCCATCAACCAACAACAGTACATCATGATGAAGTTCCACCAGCTTATCATCAAGTTTCTAATCCGCCTTCTTCATCTACTGCTTATGCATATCAAGAACCAACTGAAGTTTAATTAACTAATACCAGTATTTTATCTCGAGTTTATCTCTTTTTTTCTTATTTTCTCAAATAATTATTATTGCACATTATCTTTTCATCTTTTTTTCTTCTTCTTCTTCTTCTTTTATATTATTCATATATCCAACTGTTGTGCAATTGTTTTTGCGACGAATGAATCTCTTGTTTAAACACTCGCCAATGTGTATGTGTGTCTATGTGTATGTTTATTCTTGTATATATATAGAGAGATGGCCTAATTTTGAGCATCAGATAAAAATGACCAATACTTATGCATGTTTGTTTGCGTGTGTACATTCCACTCTAACGACTCAATTCTCTCAGCAGTTGTTTTTCATTCATTCTTTCTTTCTTTCTTTCTTTTTTATTATCAATTATTATATTATGTAATGATTTCTTTTGGAGTAAATTTCAATGAATAATAATACATATTTACTTCGATTAAATAATAATATAAACAAAATCTTATCTTATAATAATGTTCAATTTGTTGAAAATTATTTCTACAAATCAGCAGTGGTTACTATTACAATTATAATGAAATAATTGCTTTGTCTTTTCAACGAATATTTATCAATGACAATAAATCTATGAACTATTCATTCATTCATTTAATAATAATTGAGCATAATCAGTTTCAAATACGAATTATTATTTTCAATATATGAATATGAATTTTTCTTTCAAAAGAATTGCCTGATCATTTCGATATATAAGAAAAAAGGTCAAAATAAAAATTATACGTAATGATTTATTCTCATTCTAAGACAGATCTTAGGACATAAGCTTTCATCTAGTATAGTCATCTGTAGGAGAGTATTGTTTTTAATTAAACTCACAATTCTAGATTATTAAAATATATTCCGTCTTAAAAATAGTGTTGTTATTCTTAGATATTTCAAGAATTAAATTTTATCATATGGGTATATGAAAAAAATGTGTATAGAAAATCTTAGATGGCAAAGTTTTTTTCAAATATATTAGCATAATACTCAAAGGCTATAGAAGAATACTCGATAGAAATATTGAATTCTATCATATGAGTGCTCAGATACGTTAAACTCGTCACAAGTACCATCAGCGATTCTTCAAAAGGCACGAATACTGATGAGTTTTTTTGTGACATTTTTTACTGTGAACACTTTAACAGTATGACTACATGAAAGTTACATGCGAAGAAGAGCACTACATATCTAGGATGAGAACAGATGGTCTTTCTAGTCTAATTAGCTAGAATGTTTGTCAAGGTATCAAGATATATATGATTTTCATTCTATGAGAGTTTGTCTTTTCTCATTTCATAACTCTAAATATATCCGTTTGCAAGTCATTATATTAGACTTTCACAATGAATAACTTGCTTTTTCTTTGTTTTCATATCGCTTTATTTGCCATCTGTTGAACTTATATCGATTAATTTAATTGACAATGCTCATGCTTCTTTACGATATAAACGTCAAAAAGTTAAAATTTATTCTTCTTATTTATTATTTTGAGAAGCTTGCAGTATGTGTGTTTAAATATAGTCATTATGGTATGGGATAGATTGCGCAAGTATTGTCTTGAATTAAATATTTTTTCAACTGATTCAGACAATGCACAGGTCATTCTTCAACAACGGTGGTCAACTCGTGTCTATATCGTGATGCTTTCTATCATTTTGATTGTTGTTGCTATTATTGCTGGATTCAATCTTCGATCAATAAATGAAATCGTTTATTCACCTTCAAAGTCTCAGTTTATCAAAATGATTGAAAGATATCCAAATACACTCAGATGCCCATGTTCCAGGATTGGTATTGCTTATGAAACATTTGTACGTACTCATGTTAATTTTCATCAAGTATGTTTAAGTACATTTGTAACACAAACATGGATAAATTCATTATTTTTACAAAGCAATAACTCATCTTCAGCTTCATATGATATTCGATATTATCTTAGATATTTTTGGGAAGTTATAGCTGGCTTTTGTTTTTTGAGCAATAGTACATGGATAGATGCTGTGACAAGTTTTGGTGCGCTACGCATTGTTAGTCCAATAGCTGTTGTTGGAGAAAATCTTCGAAGTCAAGCTCAAGCGGCACTTGATAATTCTATGTTAATGGCTCAAAGTGTACTAGTTCGTAATTTAATTGCTCTTCGAGGTATAATTGCTGGAAATCAGTTCGTATCTGGTTTGACAACAAATTTTTACGCAAGTTATCCATCATCAAGTTTCAGTAATGAAGGCACTCTAAAAATGTTACCAAGAACATACAATAATTGCTCTTGCTTGAATTTTTTTGGTTGTCCACATCCAATTATCGTCACTACTAGTACTCATCAATTGATTACAATACCTGGTATGATTGGCGACTGTTTTATTGTTGATGCTACACTAGCCTCAACACTTGAATGCTACTATAATTCAACATGTTTTGCTCTATTGCATAGAGAATCAAGTATAAATGTGAACTTATTACTGGACACTTCAAACAAACATTTTATGATAAATTCCACTTTGCAAATGCTTATCAATGAAGCTATGGTTGATAATTGGTCTATTGAAATTCTGTTTGACTCATTTTACCAACAATGCAGTCCTACACATTGTTCTTACAGTTATATGAAGCGATTTTCTTTCATTTTTATCGTGACTATACTCATTGGCATCTACAGCGGAGCTTCATTTGTACTGCGATTACTTGCGCCTCAAATTGTAAGATTTATTTTTCAGTATCGAAATCGAAAATTAACGCCTGATGTTATGTCAGTAGTTACTGTGATTTCTCGCAGACAAAAACGTAAGTTATAAATCATTGCATGAATAAATTGCTCCTTTGTAAATATTTTGAAGATCATAAACGTTTCTTTAAAGAAATTGTGTTATATAAACTGCTCCCTTCTGTTCTCCATATAGAATTGAAGTTCACTCTATTCGAACTAGTGCAATATAGTAATGGAAATCATCGAATAGACTAGTTCGTCTCTTTTCATTGTTTGGTCGTAACTTTTTTGATACATCTTATATCGTTTGTTCTACATGATTCCTATAAGAAAACAAATGTATTTCTTTCGTGAATCAAAAAAATGTGCACACATGTATATTAACGAGAGATACTTGTTCAGGAACTGATCAATAGGAAATATATATGTTTCTATACTACTTTATTCGGTTTCTTTCTGGTATGACATTATAGCTACACAGTATAGAAATGAAAGAATGTTTAGTTCGTTGGTAACTATCACAGCTCGCATTACAGGTCTCGAGCAGTTAGGAAATATCAATTTATCGAATCTTGTGTCCTTCAATATTTATAAGCAAAACAAGTCATAGCTATGACACAAAAGAATTGATGGCAAGTAAAAGTGCATCTCCAAACTTTTAACTTGCGAAACAAAGTAAAAGCCCAGTGGATTACTATTCTGTAGGCGAGTTTATTTTGAATGTAATAGCATATGCTCTTTAGTACTCTTGACGTTTAGCTACAAATTGAAGCACTTAGAAACGTGTTGCAGTTCAAAAAACTGCTACAGAAACAGGCAAATGTATGTGAGACCGAAACAAGAATGCGGTCGCTATCGTACGATCTACATTTGGTCTTTACATGATCAATGCTTGAGACGGATTTGAACATAGTCACGAACAAGCACTTTGTATATCTGAATTGCTTCTAAATTGTTTCTGAAATGATTAAAATCTTTTGCAAAAAGTATTTAAATTACGGATCACAGCATCTATCAGAATTCGAGCGAAACAATCATTTGAAAAAGCACGTTCTCCATGTAGTTTGTCAAGACGCCTTGATGTGTGATCTAAATGTATTTATTGCTTAAGATATGTTCAAATATAATCCGAAAACAAACAAGAATGTATTAGAACAAGTAAATCATCAATTAGAAAAATCTCAAAACCAAGTATAGTTTCTAGAATTGAATTCTGATGTATTGAAAATTTCTAATGGAATGCTTTTGATATGTTCAAAACTTTTCTCTTCTTTGAAATAGTCCAAAGCTAATGTTTTAACGCGAGTTATTTTATTTCATTATACTTCTAGTGAAGATGGCACGTGATCATACGCGAAATTTTCTAAGTAAAATTGTTCGAAAAATGATCGCGTTGAATCTTTTCAAAACAAATGGTTTGCAAACACCAACGAATGTACGTCGACAACAAATTTTAACACGATTCTTCATTCTGATACTTGTTTCGTGCTCAATTACTGTTGGATTATATATATTTCTCTCTGACCAAGACCAACTTGTCACTATTGAATATCCATCTCTCGTTAAATATGAGTCATTATATGAACAACATTCATCAACTCTTTTATGTCCTTGCTCACAAATATCTGTTCCATACGATAGATTTCTTAATGTAACATTTGTATTACATCAAATATGTACAAGTAGTTTAGTTTCATCAATGTGGCTTGATTATCTGGTACTTGTTAATCTAAATCGTATACCGATATGGACAGAAACCGACTACTCGCGTGATTTCCGTACTTATGGTGCATCGTATTTTAAATTTTTGGCTACGTATTGCCATCTTGCTCAAATCAATATTGAAGATGCAAAGCATATGTTCTTATCTACACAATTCATTAATAATTATCTACCGTCTCAATTATTTTTTCTTCAACAAGTTCAACATATTTCTGAATCATTCATCGCTAAAACACGTCATGAATTTTCACGCACATTAAACTGGACTCAGACTGCTACCATGATTAGTCAATTTTTGACAGGTGCAAATACTAATTTTCGCATAACAGTCAATAATGATGGTCGAGTTATAATTAATGATGTCACGTTTAGGATAGTAACACAAATAACTCATAACTCTTTATCGAGTACTGGAAGATGCTCATGTGGATTCGACGGCAGAGTATGTTTTTTGATACCTATTATTTATACAAATGGATCAAGTGCATCTGAATTTTTACAAGTATTTTATGAATTAAAGATTGGTTGCATACCTATGTTTGGACTTTTCTGGTCAGAGACCGACTGGTGGTACAATATAACGTACATTGAAAATATTCGGATGACGTACAGTATGATCATGGACTCTCAACTTCTCTTTAATATTGAATCACTCAATCGATCAGTGCCAACACGATTTGAACATGCTCAATTGAATATTTTGCTTCAAGAAATGTTTGTAGAAACCGTGATAAATAATAATACTCGCTTTGATCTTTTCTATGAACAATGTTCACCTATCGCTTGTACATACCAAGTCGTACGACGACGCGAGATAATTATTGCCATTCTATTAATCATTAATATCTATGGTGGACTCAGTCGAGGCCTTAGATTGATTATACCTTTGATTGGCAATCTTATTTTCTTTTTCATTCGAAAATGTCAAAATTCGACTATTACTCATGGTAAGTACGCTGTGAACTTTCAAAGATAATCCCTGTTGTAATTGAGTTAAGTCTGATGACAAACAATGAACGCAAAAAAACGAAACTATTGATTGGCTAGTACCATAAAGTTAAGCTTTACTGAAGAAAAAAAATTAAGTGAATATCTGATGAACATGCGTGGAAAATGATTCTTACCATTGAGAATTTATGAAATAGGCAAGAATGAAATTTTCATTTTTCATGCTATAAAATTCAACAAATAAATAAAAACAGTTGACTAGATGTATAGAACCTAAAGTTTGTTTTTAATTTTTACTTGTTTCTTCAACAAATGTGAAAAATTTCTTCCAAGATTACGTATTGTTCAGACTGCTAGTAAAAAGAAAAAACAAATTCAAACTCATTGGAGCATACACACGAAACATCAGGCAAATATTCTTGTGATAGAGAATTATGTTGTTTTTATACAGAATAATACTTGCATATTTGCTATTATTCAGAAGGAGATAGAACCTTAACACAAATTGAATACAACTTAGCATCAAATGATTCAATGAGCAACATATTAGATGTTAAGAACTATAAATTTTGAAAAACTAAAATACACCAACTACATTGATTTTTATGACTATTCATATTGAATTGTGGCAAAGACAAAAGTTTCTTTTATTTCGTACTAGCAAGATTACGGCTGCTATGCGCATGCTTTATAATGAGAATTGTTTGAAAGATGTAAGTCCTATTTTGAAAAATAATCATTCTTTGTGGAAAAATTGTTAATGCATGTATGGTTTCAGAAACTCTTCGTTCTTGAAAGATATATGAGATAAAGAAAAACTTAGATGTTGACATACTAGATGTTATCAATTGATGCGTTGACTAACTAGCGATATCTCTGATGATTTGTATTTATTAAAAATTCGATAGAGTTCTACAACCTAGTCTATAAACATGCTTTTTCAATCTTTCTCAGCATCGATACATCCACAAATAGTCTCAAACGTCACATATCATCCTTATATTCTAATGTAAAACTTCATACAATGCAATCTATATGACATCATATTTTAGGTTACTTGTTAAGATTGGCAACTAGAAGCATTTCGAATTTCATAGACAGATAGAAAGACAAGATAGTCAATAACATTTTCTTTTTGAAGTAAAAGTAAAATATGATTGATAAGTACGTAGATTGCTCTTTCATTCATTTTATTTTGTCATTTATTCTCTCCAGAAATATGTCAAATATCCCAACATGTTCTAAATATGTCTTATCCTCTATTAACACAATTTAATAAATTGAGCCGACTTATAGAACATATTTGATAAAGACTTGTTTTGTTTTTTATTTTCAGGGCTTCGAACTATTGCTTTCTGTCGAAGAAGATTTCTGAATAATTTGGTTCAAGCAATTCTGGCAATAAATTTGTTTAAGTCGTTCAGAACCGATCGAACGAGTGAACACAAACAGAAAATTTATACTCGAGTCTATCTCGTTCTTTTCATTAGTATTCTTAGCATACTGATGTTTTACTCGTCTATTATCGGTCGTGTTATTCGTAAAACATATTTACAACCATCGATTGAAGACTATGAACATTTACTGAATCTTCATTCTGATGGAGTCGACTGTCCTTGTACAAGAATATCAATTCCTTACAATACATTTGTGATTCAACTTGAAGTCAAATCATATCATCAGGTATGCACTACTGATGTAATTGAACGAACTTTGATCATGGGTAGTATTTTTGAGCCTTCAACTACATACACCAATAGGGTCGATTTTCAATCATGGCGATTTTCTTTCGTCGACGGTCTACAGAGATTATGTCGCTTAGCAGAAGATAGTATTACCAATGATATTCAAGCATTTCTAGCTTCAACTATGCTGGTATATCAGTTAATACCACGTACTCAATTCGATAGCGAAATGAATGTCACATTGAATCGAGTGAAACTAGCAACACCTGTCGCATTCACTCGAATATTGGACCTACTTCGTTTAACTATTCATGGTAATGCATTGATCGATGTATTTTCATTGAGTTGGAACATGGTCATGGCTGAAAATAGTCAAGATACGAATGTTTCATTTGTTAGTATATCTACAAATCAATATACAAAATGTTCTTGTATCACTGAACGATCTTGTTCGATGGCAGCTCAATTATTTCTTCCTAATGATACAAGCTACTACACATTTCAAGGTTTGGTACTCGGTTGTTTTCTTCTTGAAACGGTACTACAGTCTTCATTATCATGTTTCTATTCGATGACATGTATTAAGGAATTTCGGAAGGTCATGAACTTCCATTATCCGGCAGATCTGGAACAATGGAGTAATGAAACAGGTAATCCTATTATGTTGGATGCTGCAGCAACGCGATTTTCTGTCACAGATACAATTGAAATGATGGCTTACAATATGTTTATTGAATCATGGACAACAAATGTTTCATATGAGAATTTATTCTACGCGTGTGCACCAAAACAGTGTATTTATACATATTATTATCGAATCGATGTGCTGCAATTATTGACTACATTCTTGAGTGTTTTCTCTGGTCTATCTAGTGGACTACGACTTATTGTACCATATTTGGTTCGAATAGTCGAAATCGTGATAAAATTTTTTCGTATTAGGCCAATTCAATAACTCGTTTTCTTAAAATCTTTTGCGAATTTTTTCGTCTAGATATAATCACCATACTTAAGAATATATTTAAATTGTGATCATTGATCGCATGTATATTTGTTAACAAAGCTTTCCTTAAATCCGATATTTTTGTTAATTGTCGTTTATTTCTTCATTACTGTTATCGAATTTATTATGATAAAGTGACACATGCTTTTTGTTATTCAATTTTAGATGAAAATAAAAGTCGTCGAGAAGAACTGAATGACTCAAAAAAAATTGAACTGCATTCTGCACACATGTCAGTAATAATGATAGTATTTATCAATAAACATAGTTTTCACCCTTTTGAGAAATCTGAAGATAGAGAGTTCAGTAAAAAACGGGACGGAGATGTATAAGGCCGATAAGTAAACCATCAACATTTTAAGTATTAAGAAATAAAGTTTCATATAAAGGCATAATTGGATAGAACTTGTCGAATTGAGTATATTTTGTGATGAAATGTAGCTTTTAAAATCCCAGCATGAAAAAAATGATTGTGTGAAATTTTGTCGTTTTTATATGAATTGTCTATAATCACAACTTAGTGTATCTTCACTAAACATATTATCATCTTTGGTTAAATTCTAATAGAATTCGACATTGAAAATGAATTTTCTAGAAGGTCTCATGCAAAAATTAAGCAATTTATACAAAGAAAAACAAAGCTGTGTGATTTTTCATAACTTTAGATCAGTTTATTTAATTTAAAAAAAAACAATTGCAAATTAACTATGGAAATATAATTTTAACAAAAATACTATTATTATTCAAGTTTTCCTCTACAATAAATATAATTATACATCAAAATAGAATAATAACGACGACTGCACTAATGTCTTTTTTTTTTGTCTCTATTCAACTCATCTGATTCAGTATATAACATTTTCGTTTAATCTTTTGTATCGTTCATTATATAGATTCTTAGATTTTCAATAAACGATTGCTTGTTCGTTCGATTACATTCCATAAATTTCAAATTTAGAAAGACAAAGCCTTACTCAAACTATTGATTGTAGACAAGTGTAGATCTTAATCATGATTATATAATTATAAGTACTAAGATATCAACTTTGAAATAACTTTTTGACACTGATGGTTTTCTTCCTAGGACAAAAAAGAGGCAAAGAGATCATTTTTCGAATAGCAGTTTTTGAAACATAAATAACATAACTAAGTTGAACGTATAGTTCTAGAATGTATGTAAAACAATATATTTTATTTTTGAATATCAAGTCTGTATATCAATTACCTAATTTTGTATGAGACAGTTCATCAGACTTACTCAATTTGTTTCTTTTTCTAAATAAATATTTGATTGGTAAAAATAAATATCATGAAGCATTGTGAAAAAGAGTAGACGGAATTCTTATCTATCTGTAAGATTTTATTATCTTTAGTATGATTTAAACAAGAGAGTGATAAAACTCATTTTCTAGTGAGACAATTAAACAAGACAATACTATTCTTCTTTTTTTTGTATATACTGATGTTTAGATCATCAATTAACTGCATATTTTTTCTTATTATTCTGCTTAATTTTATAACGACAAGTATCTTTTGCGACCATGATTATTTAAGTAGGTATATATTAAAGACAATACTAAAAAAGAAACATGAAAATTTACTTTTTTTTTTAAATTTTTGATACCGAAAAAATTTTCTCTAACATCTATTATTAATAGTTTTGTCTCTATAAGTCGATTTTCTGAAAAATACAACAGTTCTCATATATTTTCTTTCTTTCTAACAGACGATCAAACATTAGAACGTGACTATGGTTTACAAGAACATTCAACTGGTCTTCCACCAGCTATTATTGCTATTATTGTCATTAGTGCGATTCTTTGTTTCGCTGCATGTTTAAGTTGTTGCATACGTTCTCAACAACATCAACGTGCTTCTGTTGATTACGTTAATTCGGATCATGCAACTATTGCTAATCCCTATCAACTACAAGATGTTCGAAGTCCAGCACGAATCGTACTTGTGCGACCTATTAATAATGTTGGTGCTGCACCGCACTCTCAAGTACTTCCTAGTATATACGAAGGCCCACCTCCATCTTATGACGCAGCAACTGGCAGTCTTTCATCAATACACCACCCATCACTACCTCCACCGTTCACAGCACGTGTTCAATAATCTAATAAATTGACTCTATAAGTAAAAAATTATTTTATCAATAAATATGAAACAAAAAACAGAGACTAGACATTAAAAAAAAATATTCCTGAACGGATAAATTAAAAGGAAATTGTTCTATTCTAAGTAATCCAATCATGCTACTTATCTGCAAACACAATATTAAACTGATGTCTTGTTTTTCATCAACTACAAGATCGATTTCATGTAAATTATCTATTTCATAATATGAATAAATATATTTGTTTATAATAATCATTCATACAAATCACGGTATCTTATCATTGCTTCAAAATCAATTTACTAAGAAAAGAACACTTATTATTATTCTATTAAACAGTAAACATTTTTGCAATGTAATTCTTAATGATAGAATTATGCAATCTTTACTTCAATCATTTTGTTGCTGAATGTAGGCCCATTTTAAGCACAAATTTATACTAAAATAATATGCATATTAACACAAATCTTTCATTCATAGTTATAAGGATAAAAAATATCTTCTAATATGCAAATTTTAAAACAAAATGTGCTATTTGAGTAATATTCTTCATAGAAGTATTGTATTCTTATTGTAATTAATATTTTTGTTTTGGATGACAAATGATAATAATCACCATGTATATAATATATTAATATGTTTCCACAGTCATATTCAAATATAATTATGAAAATTTTATTTCATTATCAATCAACTATAAATTCTAAGAAACTATTATTATTATTGGACTAAATTCTTAAATAATATAACGAAATGACGAAGGATAAAATTGAATGATAAATATAGTTTTGATTATTTATAATCAAAAGATGAACTATTTCTTCCTAACATTTTATTTATATAGACTCAACAAAAAACAAATCATAATGATTTTGATAAATAGAAACAGTTAAATGAATTGAAATTTGATACAATATATGAAATAAGTAAGAAAACAAAGTTTTTTTTAATAACTTCATAAACATTGAAACCATAAGATTTTTGTATAAAAACATTTGTTCTCTTATCCTCTTACAAGTAGTGAGTGCACGAAAATTTATCTTAATTTATATTTGATTTAATCGTTGGAATAAATTACATTTCAACTTATGTATAAATTGAATGTTTTTCAAATTGCAATAAATTTTTAATAATAAAACGTTACTTAATTAATATATAAATACAACATATTAAGAAAAATCTTAGAAATTAAACATTAAATTCTATGAATTAATTTCTTTTTATTTCATAAAATGAATCATTTATATAAAACAAAGAGAATAATAAATTGTAATATATCTATATAAATAGATAAAGAAATCAAAAGTGCGACACTTCAATGATGATTAATGGCCTGTAAAAAACAGGTAATGACCTTGTTTACATAGAAAACATTCAATATTCAAAACAACAAGCGATGAAAAATCTCAAAAGAAAAGAACACTGTTGAAAAAGTAAAATTTTAAGTTTTACAAAACTTGATCAGGATCTTGAAAAACCAATCAAGAAAAATTGTCAAAAAAAAACAAAAAATGTTTCTATTTGACAATAAAAAATTTTCTAAAGAAAACAAAAAATTACATAATTCAGGCAGATTGAAATGTCTGTGCATGGATTCACTTGATCAAGTATTTTTCAGCGGGTGTTTGTCGAGTTCAAAAAGAAAAAAAAATATAATAAGGCGAACCATTCCAATGAAACGCTGGTTTCTAGCATCATCATTTACAATTAATTAATTCGATATGAAACATTGTGAACAAAGTAAAATATTAAATGTGCAATATTAACCAAAATCTAAAATGTAAAACAAAAAAAAAAGAAAATACTTAGAGCATACAAAAAGTCTTTATGGAGTCATATCGATTTCTTATTGAATGCTTGAAGAAATTTTTGTGTAAAACTTAACTAACGATTTCGGCAGATTAAATGTTTCAATCACTTAATACATTGTATTAAAAAACAAAATATACTACAAGATACAGCATGAAAAGCTCTACAATCTACAAAGTAAAACTTATTTTAATTGTGTATTTGTCGTCAACGAAACCAAAATTCTATACGACCAATTTTCACCGCTCCGAAAAAATTATACGAAGAGAAGTTCTGTTCTTTTATTTCATATATAAAATAAACTGTTCTTTAAAAGTTGTAGAGCTTTTCACGCTACATCTTATGGTATATTTTGTTTTTTAATACAACATACTGACTGATTGAAAATTGAAATGCAAAGCGTATTAATCGACCTCATCCGTTAGTTAAGTTTTACAGAAAAACAGTTCTTATCGAAATTTTATTATTATGATATTAGTTGAAGATAGGTCAAATAGCATAGAAAAAATAGAGCATCGTTTTCTCTATCACTACATAAAAAAAGAAAATTACTTCAAGCATTCTTCGTAAAGACTTTTGATATGTCCTAAGTAAATTATTATTATCGTTCAATGTATCTTATATTGAGACATTGTTAAGACTTAAACTCATACTCAAAGAAAAATATTAAGCAAAAACTGAATTGATTGTAAACTCACTTTTATTTTTAATTTTCTCCACACAAATAGTCCATACTTGAATGCTGTAAATAAATAAAAATTTCATAGAAATCATGTCAGATAATCAACACGAAAAAAAAAGAACAACATTTATTAAAATTATTGATATATATTCACTTACAAATTGATTACTTTCATTCGAATATAAATAAATGGAATTCTTTTTCATATAGCATTGAATAAGGTGAACATTGGAATGGACTTAATATTCCATCCTAGTATTGAGAGATGCTGAACTAAAACGAAAATAATCATTTATTATAGAACATTTTTATCTTATATGATCGAAAGAAGTATATTTATCTACAAGCAGAACAAAAAAAAATGTGTATGTAAAAAAAGTAAAAGCAAAATAGAAGTGTTATGTTCGAATTCATCAACAATGTGTCGTTTTTTTTTTTTTCTTCTTTTCTTTCTTTCAAAGACAAACACATTTCGTATTGTATGTTGTAAGAACGGTCAAGTAAAAGAGAAATACTTCAAATGTAAAGAATAATACAAAAAGATGATTTATATAATATATATGTCCTTTTCTCAATTGCATTTATACAACCTATTGGATTTAGTATAAAAATTTTCCTTTTCATACAAACAAAATTATTCATAACATTAAAAAAATGAAAATATGATATTTTAATAGTAATAGTTAACTTTTGTTTGATCGATTGTCAATTGAATAAAATGATAATAGTGAACTGCATTTGATTTTATCTATTATATTTCCATGTGATTTTTGTTTTTTTTGGATCAAATATCTTTACTAAAGATGATATAATGCTAAGATTTCTGCACTAGTTACAAATCTATTAGTTCGATTCTTATTTGTTATTGAATGTCGATTCTATTGACACAGATATACTTGCATTATGTTGTAAGTATCGAAAATTCTAGTAGTACTCAAGAAAAAACAATATTATTTTTATGTACAGAATAAGAAAAGACATATTATGTTCACTTAAATTAATATTTATGATAGAATACTGATTCAAATGGTGAAAGAAAGTTTAAAGTTAATACCATTGTATTCAATTTTTTTGATGTTTCGGTAAGTTATCCTCTAAGACTAAGACAAATAAGTGTTCCAATTCTATATATATATATCATGATAAATTGAGAATATCTAGAATTTGAAAAGTTTTAAATTTAGATTATTTTTCATAGGAATGATGAGAAGAAAAATAATCATATTGATAATGTAAGATAAATCATAAAATTGAAAATAACTATTTAAAATAAGAAAACTTAATAAAAATAGATATGATTTATATAATTTCTTCTAAAAATCTTTTTTCTTAATTTGTTACATTATAAAGACAAATCATGTTAAATTAACTTATTATCAGTTACATATTAACAATTAAAATATTCGTTACTTTTTGTTCTTCATAAGATATTAAGTTAATATTACGAATATTGAATAGACAAATATATTGATATTCAATTTCGCGATAGGTGGTCTAGTAAAAAAAAGAAAACTAATGAATATTGTGTCATGTGCAGCGCTTCTATGGAATCAATAAACTGCTACTAGCTGTTTTACAATCAAGATCAAATTGATTAGACAATATGATATATGTACGAGACTTGTAAATTTATTTTATAAATTATATTTATTGTTTATTACTTAATTTTAAAATAGAAGTGCATTTTAATAATGTACTTTATTTTAAATTTTTTACGGTTAAAAAACACAGTAGAGTATATTTTTAAGTATCGTTCTCTTTCTTTCATTAACTGATTTGACAATATTTCCTTCCTGTCTCTTTAAAATAAACTCATAAGTAATATTTAGTTGATTTCTTTTGAAATTTAACATTTTTCTTTTTTAAATTCTTTCCATTATTCATTGACATGATATGAATGAAAAATCTATCAATTATTATTTAATATTAAGTTCATTGATTAGTATAGATATTCCACGAAAATTGATCACCTTCTAAGGTCTTGTTGTTATGACTGTTGTATGTCTTATTGTTCAATATAACTATCTATGTGCTTATACATAGGTAATACACATAACGTTCAAATGTCTTCACTTCACAGTAACAATGCTGAAACACTTCAAGTCATAAAATAACTTAACAGAAACGATAAAGAGAAAAAAAAATGACTTTTATGGGCTTTTTATTCTATTCAATAAACAGGTTCAAGCAAGAGAAAATCATAGTAGAAATCAGTAATGAAGCAAATATATATAGAAAACCTATGGTTGACGGATAAATGAAAGACTTCGTGTGACCTATTTAGATGAGACATATATATCGTTAATAGGATATTAATATGCAATCTAAAATGCTCCAGTACAAAATCAATTAGATAAATAATTGATTAATTCAAAGAATAACAAAAATATCAATTTCTGCATTATGTTTTTTTTGTCTAGTAAAGTAATCATTGTTTTATTAATGCATTTGAGAGCCCTCTTTATTACATAAAATAAACATAAGATTGAATTTAAAATTTTGAATCTT